TATGTGTTGATGAGGTGAGCCAGCAGGTTACAGATCCACAGAGAAAGGACATCACCCAGCAGACGAGGAATCAACCCACTAGGAAAAAGGAAACACAAAAAAATAAAGACACGCCTTAAATAAAAGAGAAAAGAGTAGAGACACTATAATCAAACACTGGGATTGTTTGAAGCCCAACACTGGCTGGAACAATGTTTAACTCACTGACACTCAGATACAGTGCTGCAACAGTTCACTGAGTACTTTGAATAATTCGACTACAAAAAGTTCTTTGCTTCGATGTGTCGTTAAGGGACCCTCTGCAGCGCCGCTGTTACCATGGAAACTCGAACACGAGCATTTCAACTAAAAACAGACTCAATGCAAACGTATTTATTAGCAGTGTGTGAATAAAATGCCACAACAGCAGCAGCGATGATGACGCTGGCTCAGTTTAACACAGACTGCAGCTCTGTGTTAAACTGTGCAAAGAGAGCAAAGAGAGCTCAGCTGAAGTGAAGGTGTTGGTGTAATCAGATCCTGATCAGCAAACTCTGACATGATAAAAAAAGAATATGTGTAGCTGCTTCATTCGTTTGCTTCACAGTGAAAAATCGACTGCAAGCCTCCAGAAGCTGCACAAAAACACGCAGATGAACTGTTAGCTGAGGTTGATACGTGTTTAAACTGTACAACTTTCTGAATGTTGACACCAACCGTCCTATTTTAGATGAAAGCGAGTAGAGGTGGCAGGTCTTCATATTATTATCTAAAATTAAAGCGTCTTTCACGAGCCAATAAACACGGGCCAGTAAACTCAGAGCCACTGAGCTGAAGGCTGTTGGTCGTACACCGAATTATCGTTAATGTTAATTAATCATAAAATCTTGTTTTCAGCAGCACAATAACTTTACGTCAGAGCACAGGGCTGATGTTTGCTCCTCTTCATTGCAGCTAGCACGTCATCCTCTAAAGGAGCCACTTAGGTTTGTTTTTGGACAAATGAGACAGATGAAACAACAACACTGACGTTTCTAAAATGAAAACCAATGAGATTCACTTTGAAAGGCCCGTGCTTGATCATTTATTCCATCGCTCATTGATAAGACAAAAATATTTCTTAGCCGATTAATCGATAGATTGATGTAATAAATCAATACTGAACTGATACTCCTGTGAAACATCACCCATCTTTGACTCCTTCAGCTGCTGCAGCAGCTCACACAGCACCGCTGCAAACAGGATGTCACACAACTCTCCCTCTTACTGAACAGATGAAGTAGTTCAGAACACTTTAGGAAGGATTTAAGCTGTCAGTAAAGATCAAATCTGAGTAACAGGAAACATTTCATACTGTATCAAATATGGGAAGTATTAGAGTATTTAGAGTATTTTCCATCTGTTTTGATTCAACTGGATTTCAAGTTCTAGTACTGTGACAACTGATGATCTGCTA